ATTTTTTAACATCCCTAACTGATATGAGGAGTTTTGGCGGGAACTTGGCCGACGACGGGCTGTCGCCCCTGTTTTGTCGCTTGAATAATGGTTTGAAGTGGATTTCAATTCGTAAAAGTGATGTGATTTTGTGAATTAATTGTCTGCGGGTGTGAACTATTAGAGAAAAGGACGAAACAAGTGCTTTGATGTCGATATAAACCCTAAGTTATTTTGATCGCTTAGGTGCCTTATGAACTTAAGTGGCTGTCGTCATCTACTGTCCGCTGGGTTGAGCTGTCGTCAAAATCTCTCAAGGGCTTCGCAATGTGACGCATATTGTGAAGAAAGGAAAAAAAAAGCGCGGGAACCTTGAAACCGGACTGATAAATTTATATGGATTGAAACTTATAAAGATTATAATATAAAGACTTCGCTTTAGCCTTTGTGGTTTTTGAAAATATGAAGAACAAAAGAAAATAAGACCTGGCTTCGCCTTTATGTATTTTGAAGAGATGGAAAGAAGAAAAATAAGACTTGGTTCCGGCCTTTACACTTCAAAATTCTATATATTCAAATTAAAAAAAGACAAGGCTGTATGGCTTAGTTCTTTTGCCTGCTCTCGCGAGCCAATAATAAAAACAACAACACTGACATGACACCTGACAGGTAATGTGATGTGACGTGCGTGATGCTGATGTTTACCATTTTTGAAATTGCTGAGAACATTATAATTTATCGTGATATTTCTATTAAAAACAATGAATTTATTTGAAATAAAAGAGCTTGTTGCAAATGCAGCCGTTGTGACAACTATTTTGCAATTTTTGTCTGGAATGTATGTATATTTTTGTTTTTCAATTTTTAATCATTTTGAATTAGTATCTACATAAATCTGCTTTTTTGTGAATAAACGTAAATTAATTAGTTAAATATTTTAGTCTTGTATGCAAGCAATATGTGGCTAATCGAACTACTGCAGAAGCATCGCCGTTCCCATTCATAGCCGGCGTTTTATCGTAAGTTTTCGTTATGGCATTGCACTTCATCGCGTTAATGTTATTGTAACACAAATTTTAATTACAGCGCTGGTATTTGGCTTTTGTATGGATTCACAAAACACAATGATAAAATAGTTATGGTGAACACAATTGGTGTTACATTAATGATTTCTTATACAGTAGTATTCTATATTTATACATTTAAGAAATCGATGGTTTTACGACAAATTACTTTTACCATTATATTATTTCTTTTTATATTTGGATACGTTTCTGTAGAAGAAGATAATGAGGTTCTCTTATCAAGACTTGGTAAGTTTTTGTGTTTTGTATATCAAGTTGTACTACATAAACTATTATAACTTATTTGTATTTGGGAGATCAAATAATTTAATTTATTACAGTATATTTAATTTTCAGGTTTGTTAGCCTGTTCTCTTACTCTGATAACAGTTGCTGCACCCATGAGCAAATTGCTATATGTATTAAAAGTAAAATGCACTGAATGTTTGCCTTTTCCTATGATACTGATGTCATTTTTTGTATCAGCATTTTGGTGTTTATATGGGCTAATAGATGAGGACATATTTATCACGGTATTGAATTTATTAACATTTAGTTTTCAAATGATATATAAAAACATCATTAATCCTAATTTTCATAATCTCATCATATTCTTATGATATTCATTATAATCTGGGTTACCACAAAATATATTATTCCTGAGATGTCAAGTTCCTAATAATCTATACATAATATATATTTTTAGTAATATATATCAATGATAGTATCTGACAATAACAATGTTTATTTCTTTACAGATACCTAATTCAATTGGAGCAATATTAGCTGTCGTCCAATTATCACTTTTTGCTATTTTTCCTAGTACTCCCTATTCATCACTACCTTCTAAAAGTACCATAGCATAATTTACTTTATATATTTCAAAAAAATCAACATCATGTAGTGTTCATCAAGTAAAAAGTAAATTAGGAGTTTAAAATGTACAACAAAATAATTGAAACTACAAAAATAACTAAGAAATTTTTACTGATTTTTAATATACATATCATAAATTTTGCAAATACTTTATTAGTGTTTAGTTGACATAATCAAACAGTGGGTTTATTTGTAACAATGCTGTATTTATATTAGAGATGGGCCAAATATTCGTTTTATATTTGGTATTCGGCAGCTTTACCGAATATTCGTATTCGGCTTAATATTCGGCTAAATCACCGAACATTCGTTTTCATAGTGTCCAATGTATTGAAATGTACGAATTGAGTAATGCGATGTCTTTTACTGTTGAAAATATATTTTATTTATGGGTTAAATCTACTTACCCTAGAGTGCCTCAAATGCATAACTCTATATATTTATGTTTTTGAGGAACTGTAGATTTATTTCCGATTATGGCAAATAGAAACTTGATACAATGTTTTTGAAATCAAACAAAGAAACATTACATAACATTAGTACATTTCACCTTACTTTTGTCGTCAGTTTTTCTAAAAATACGTCCAAATATTAAATCTTCTGCCGCTCATTTTTATCGTATAATTATCAATTTTCACTAAGAATAAAACATCGAAACATTTTTTTTATCACAAGAATAGTCAAAACATGCATGTGCCGGCAATTTGCTCAGTACTAGATGATGCAATAACTGTCAGGTGTGGCGGGGAGTGAGAGGTGGGGTCCTGCGCTAATCCCGCGCGCTTTCCAGTAACAAGTTTCGACATAAATTGGTTAGGTCCCGAGGTTATCCTGCCGAATAATGTTCGGCCGAATATTCAGTTCGGTAAAATTTTTACCGAACATTCGGCCGAATATTCGTATTCGGTGAAATCCATATTCGGCCCATCGCTAATTTATATTTGTTTTCTCTTAAATTTTTTTTATAGGATAGGGTGACAAACGAGCACACAGTCCACCTGATGGTAAGTGGTTGCTGTGGCCCATAGGCATCTACATCTATCCTCGATTATGAATCAAAATGCAGATGCGTTGTCACCCGTGAGGACTGAGATGGAATGCCTCGTTTCCAGTAAAAAGGGTCTCCGGTTCTCTACACTCACCATACGAAATACAGCAGCATTAAGCTACTATTTCACGCTGGTATTCTGTGAGAGCGTGGTCCTTCCCGGTCGAGCCGACCCATTCGTGCTACAACTATACTACTAATATAACTGCAGCATGGCTCTACCACGTATAAAATAATCAAATACAATCAATGTGATTAGACATTGTAACATTGAAGTGAGTACAACTGGCCATCAACTAAAGTGTGGTCTAAGTACTATGCCAAAGGTACTGCCCTTCAACTTGTTATTCCATGTCTCTGACATAACATTCTGGGTTACTTCCCATCTCATTGCATAATGTGTATCGAATCATGTATGGCTAGTTTGGGATGAGTGTCCTTTTGTTCCTTACATTTTGCCATGTAGTGGTGGTGTAAGAAAACCCAATACCATTGGGTGAGCCTATGGAGTAGTGGAATCCTTGCTAAAAGTTTACAATTATGGAAAATACATAATATTTAATAAAAGGGGGATCCCTTTGATGCAATATTAGGGGAGGCCTATGTTCAGCCTTAGACTTTGTTATGGTGTAATGAAGATGATGATAATTACGATGATGACACATACACATGTTGCATTATACGAGGGTGGATTGAAAAGTACTCGGCCTAACCAAGAAAATAAACACATACTAATTCAGTTATATTTTTATTTTTCTACATAATCACCATCAAGTTCAATACACTTTTGCCACCTCCCCTTCCAAGCATTTAGACCGTTGAAAAAAAATGATTCTTCCTTAGAGTCAAAATATGCGTCTACAGCTGCTTTGACCTCGTCGTTTGTCGAAAATCTTTGACCTCCCAAGTGCTTTTTTAGGTTAGGGAACAGAAAGAAGTCTGATGGTGCCAGATCAGGTGAATACGGCGGATGCGGTAACAGTTCAAAGCCACAGTTGTGAATTTCAGCCATTGACTGTACTGACGTGTGAACACGGGCGTTATCTTGATGAAACAGGACTTTTCTTCTGAGCATTCCTCGACGTTTTTCCTTTATTTCCACTCGTAAATGACGTAGTAAGGTGCAGTAGTAATCAGAGTTTATAGTCTGATCCCTTTCAAGATAATCAATTATAATCACACCTTTCGAGTCCCAGAATACTGAAGCCATCACCTTATTTGCCGACAAAATCGACTTAGCCTTTTTAGGGGTGGTGAACCAGGTCTCCTCCACTGTTTTGATTGTTGTTTTGTTTCCGGTGTACAGTAATGAACCCATGTTTCGTCCATAGTAACAAAACGATTCAAAAAATCATCTGCATCGGCTTCAAATAACTCCAAACAGTCGCGTGAAATAGTCAATCGCGTCCTTTTTTTGTTCAACTGAAAGCAGTCGCGGAACCCACCTTGCAGACACCTTGTGGAAACCCAACTCGTTGACAATGATGTTTTGAGTTCGTTCATAAGAGATGCCTATAATCTCGGCTATCTCTCTAATTTTTAATCTGCGGTCTCCCATTATTAAATCAAGTACTTTTTTAATATTTTCGTCAGTAGTTGACGTCGAAGGCCTTCCAGAGCGGGGTTCATCTTTCACACTCTCTCTACCACGCTTAAATTCTGCTATCCATTTTTTGATGGATGAATATGACAGAGCACAATCGCCTAATGTACTGACCATGTCATCATGGATGGCTTTTGACGATAGCCCCTTCTTATGGAGGTACTTAATGACGGCACGCTGCTCGATTTGCTCCATTCGCGGAAATTATGTCCGATTACTTTGTTAATAAATTTATAAAATCACAACTAATTATCGCACACGTTTCGAACTTCACACAATGAACTAGTCTGAACTGAACTAAATAATGTGGGTAGATTTGATTTTTAGAATTGAATGGATTTGTGTTAGGCCGAGTACTTTTCAATCCACCCAGGTAATGTCTACTGTGCAGTGGATTTTGTGTTGTGGTTCTGCTCCTGTGAAGTGGTGGTCATTCTAGAAAATCAGATAGGAGAATGTTGTAATCATTCTGTGTTCAGTTAACAAAATTCATGAAAAATTTGAATTTACTTATTTATACCACATTTTCATTAACCCACTTTCTGGATTCCTACATAAAAAAAACCTAAGTTTTGATTAATAACTGATTTTAAACTAACTTCCCGATGACTAAGTGACCAAATTTTGAACATAGTTTAAAGTCGGATAATAATATAAAAATATGAAAAAAAGAAAGCACAAAAACAATTGAAATAAACTTGTTACGTTAAAGACCTCCGTAAGTATAGGAGCGTAGTCTTTTTGACTACAAATTGTCATTCAGTTTGACGAAAGATATACAACATATAAATTTTGTAGTACAAAATATAGATAAATATAAAAAATGTTTTATAATTTTTAATAGTTATAGGTTAACAAAAATGTATTTATGCTTTTAATTTAACACAAAACATATATCTCGGTAAGAATCTCGTGTTTTTTATTGGTTTCTTATATTTATGTGAATACCACAAATGGAATAAAACTAATTTTACGGAATTTATCGCGTTTAATTTTAACTTGCCTGATTTAAGATCTTAACGCTTCCTGGAATGTCCTTTTTTGTTGATATTTTGACACACGTAGGAATGAGATTATGGATTATGGTTTCTGCATCTCTTCGAGAAATTTAAAGGTGTTTGTTACATATCTTGCGCGTTTGGTCTTGACATCTAATCGGTGAATTTTATTTGCTATTTCCAGTCCGTACTGGTTCACATAATGATTTCTTATATTTACGCGAATACTACACATGCAATAAAATCCAGAAAATTAGTTTTATTCAATGTCGGTTTTTGTTATTGGACTGAAGAATATTAAAAGACAAAACGTATTAATAAATGTCGTAAGTTCTGTAAGTTCCTTAGGTTAATTTATTTTCCTATTACCTAGGATTAACCATTTGTTATTATTAAAGTACCTACCTAATAATGTTGTTTGAGTGAGATATAGGATTTAAGTAAATTATTTTAGTATAATATCTCCAAATGAGTAAATTTATATGGAAACTAAATAAAAAATGAAAATATCTCTTGCATTGTTTTATTTTTTTACATACACAATATGATCGATCATTTGGATTTACAACACAGTTTCCTCTGGTGTTATAAGCAGATATAGTTTCTGTAGGTTCCAATATCTTTATTTCATTATCATCTGTCAATATGTTTGCCTCGAATGCTACATCACCTGGCGACATCATAAATGCTATAATGTGAACTTCTTTTGTTCCGTTTGAGTAGACATGATGTCTTAAAACTGTTTTCAATGTCAATTTTGCACATTCCATGCATCGCGTCGTTTCTATTATTTGGGTTCTGTTTTTAATAAATGTCACCGCTAGTTTTAAGCTCTGTTGTGAATTGTTCTCCTTTTCGTTTGCCTCGGCCATGTTGTGACAGCTGCACCATTTGTCACTGACCCCAGCATCAGAGCATGTCCTATATATTGTTTTTTCGAGAAATAAGCTTGAACACTGCGGGCATGCTTCTGAGGGTATCTCCTGAATGGAATCATTTGACAACTTCAGTATATGCCACATCGTTGAATGCAGATCGTAAGGTGTGATTAACCGATACTGATTTATCTTTGTATTATGATATTCTTCGAAATAAGTTTCTTGAAACGCTAATGGAACCCACATAAATAACATCGGTAAACGTTCTTCGTAATAAGACTCTATTGGTAATCTCATTTCACCGTATCTTATACCATGGTCACTTAAGAATATAATGAAAGTATTGTTTAATGCGCCCGTGTGTTCGAGTTTTTCTAAGAAGCTTAACATGTCATTATCAAGAAGCGCCGGCATATTGTCAGTATTGTGACTGAATGAGTTTAGCCAGAACATGCCAAAGAAGTTTTCATTTATGTATGCTCTTGCAAAATCTAAAGCATAGTCTAGTAAATGTATTGCTGAAGGTTGTTTACCAGTACATATATAGTTTCCACTTTTTTTCTCTCCCGTTAGAAAAAATGGGCGTGCGTAGTGGTTTGTAGGTGGAATTTTAAATCCCTTATGTCGTGAAAATGTATCAGGTAGCCTCAGATATTCTTCACCATAAGCAGTAAAATAGCCTACATCCTTGTATTTACTCCACATCATCAATTCATTACACTCGTTCATACCTTTTGCGCAAGCTTTGTAAATTGTAGGCATTTTCTTTCCAGTTAAAAGAGACATTATGTTTGGAAACGTGTTAAAACCTACCTGAAAAGGTATAAAAGCATATAAGACCATTCGGTTTATTTTTGCAATATTAAAAGATTATGATATAATCATCATCATCATCATAATGTGATGAGCCGTGGTAACTCTGATGGTTAGCGGTCGCTGTAAATTTCACAGTACGCGAGGAACCCGGGTTCGATCCTCGCCGGCACCAATGAAATGGTTAATGGCAATTTTAAGTGCTGATTTACCACGTGCTCGGCGGTGAAGGAAAACATCGTGAGGAAACCTGCATGTTTGAGAAATAAGAAAAAATATATTTCGAAGATATGTGAAGTTCGCCAACACGAATTGGGGCAGCGCAGCGGACACTTCCTTGCCCTAAAACCCTCTCAGAAATGAGCGGAGGAGGCCTGTGCCCAGCAGTAGGACGCATGTAGGCTGTAACTTTACTATTTTTATATCATCATCAACATCATTACACTATGCTCTCTCACTCCTCTGCCGAATATAGGCCCACTTCATAGAATCTTGTGATGATGCCGCGTAGTAGCGGCGTAAGATGGGTAGTCCACTATCTCAGACACTATCCGTGGGTGTCATAACAGGTGATAGAGGACATGAAACATGAGTAGGTAGCAGCATCTTCTTGATAACAACTCAAAATAAGAAAGAGTTGCTGTTTCCAACCCGCCTACCAGGCGTGGCAACTACAGCAAACCCCCCTCCCCCCCATACACAATAGGATTGGATGATACGAGCTCTTTATAAGTGTAAATCCTTTGTGCAACATTGTATTAAATATGTGCTAGAGTTCTTTTTCTTATCTATTTCTGTCGTCAAGCAGTAGCGCCTTCACTGTTTTATTCCGGTTTGAATGGTATGTTTGTACGTCGAGCCGCTACGCTGTGAGGCATTTCGTTTTAGCACTTAGAGATGACAATGCATCTGTAGTCTGCTTCGAAGTTGGTTGTAGGCGTCCATGGGCTGTATTATACTCACCAGCAAGAGGATTGTCTACTCGTTGGTCATTTTTTAAATAAAGTAAAACATTACAAACGTTAAAAGATCGTCTTGTGTCCGAACAAATGTTACGAGTACAATGGCATAGAAGAAAAGCAAAGAGCCAAGTGCCGCAGCCTTAAGCCAGCTTTATAAAAATAGCTGATATCAATTCAATTCTCGACCTGGATGACCTATAATTCCCACATTTGCCACGAACTTTCCACGGATGGGATAAAAAATATTATTATAGCATTGGAGTGGAGTGCAGATTGTAGTGGCGGCGTAGGAGAATCCACTGCCCCATCTCAACCCATATGTGTCATAAGAGGACAGTGGAACACTGAAACAGGATCAAACAGGACAAAACTATAAATAATATAAAAACTACGGCTGCCAACCCGTCTTCTAAGTGGGGCAATTATGGCTAATATATTATTTATAGCGGGATGGAGAAGGGGGGGGGGGTGAGAGATATGTTCTGTAGTGGACTTTATTTGCCCCGGATGCCCGGATTTGAAACAAGCGCCGTACAAGTGTTTGATTTCATTTGCGAAGTTTCCTGCTGCTCCGGTGAGAAATAAGAGTCATTAAAAGTTATTCGTGATATCTGCAAGAGTATTAACGCTTTTATATTAGTGGTATGAAGTAAAATACATGAACATATAACAATATTTTAAAAATTAACGAAAGTGAAGAATCTTGCTTCACATAATTTCCTTACCTTTTGATATCCTCGGAAATCTAGCCACTTATGTTTTTCAAAATATTCAACAGTGTGTGGCATGGTACTATACACTCTTGCTCTCGACATCGTATCCATTCCAATTATCAATACATTCCATGACTTTTCGTCCCTTGTAGTTACTTTAGAGGACGTGTCTAACTTCTTAAGTAAAAAATAGGCATCTTCATAAATTACGGGCTTTGTTTTCCCTTCGTTGAGGCTACAATATACGGATAAGATTTCCTGTTCTAGCTTTATTATAGAGCCATTTTGAAAAATATTGCACGGCGTGAATCTGAAAAGTTTATAAATAAACACTTAATCTTCTAAATAAATATGACTGTTCAGTAAAGAACTCTTCTACTTAAAGAATAATTAAGAACTCTCCTAAAATGTGCTAAAAAGCCTACACCTACTTGTTTACAATGTTTACATCACAATATCATACATAACGTAAGTTTTTAAATAAATTTGATATTGTATATTCGAAAATAAGAAAATGTATAATATATATATATATATATATATATATACTAGTATATACTTTATTGTACACCACACATATACAACGAATAAATACATTACAGAGAAAACTTAATATATACGTATGTACAATAAGGCGGTCTTATCGCTAAAGAGCGATCTCTTCCAGACAACCTTTGGGCTAAGGAGAAACTGGAATTAAGAACAGTAGGAGGTGGTGCGTTTTATGTTACACTTACATTCTAATATCTAAATAAACTAAAATATATTTTGTTAAAATACCACAATAATACATAAAAAATAATATTAAAATAAACATACATACTAATAAATAGGTATATATATATATATATATATATATATATATATATATATATATATATATATTTTATGCACTTTTATTGTTTATAAACAGAAGATATTCCTTAAGGCCTTGTTTCTAGTTTTCATATTATTTGAAGTGTGTACCATTATATCTTTAAATAATTTTACCACTTTTAGCAATTTAGTTTTCTTAATATCAATATTCAAGTATAGTAGTTTGTAACGCTTGCAAGAGTGAAAGCCACTGAAACTTTTATAACTATTGCAAGCCGTTACAGAATATAATATTATTTTGAAACAGAAACAGAAACATTTTTATTCAATGTAGATTATAATAATACTTATTGAAAGTCACTTTTTTCATTTACCACTGGTTCGCAAAAAAAACCTCTGTTTTGGGAAGAACCAGCAAGAAACCCAGCGGGACTATTTTTTTCCAATAATAGCTTACAATCATGTTTACAATTAACAACACAAGACAAATTAGAAATAGCTTGGTAGCGATCACCCTTCCCAGGGGTTATTGTCATCCAAAATTCCTTTATATTATAATAACCCTTTTTATAAAAACTTAGTTTAATAAAATTTTTGAACTTTGTGTATGATAAATTTTGTATATTTTCTGGGATTTTGTTGTAAAAGCGTTTACATCGCCCCAAGAATGAATTAATGACTCGGTGGAGTCGAGTAACAGGTACTACAAACTTGTGTCTGTTCCTAGTATTTACAGAATGAATGTCACTTATTTTCGCAAAACTACTTTTATTTTTGTGTACGTACATTACATTTTCATAAATGTATTGAGAGGCCAGAGTTAATATATTAATTTCCTTAAATTTTTGTCTCAGTGACTCTTTTGGTTTTAAATTATGTATTTCTCTAATGGCCCTCTTATGTAAAATAATTATAATTTCAGTGTCAGTTGCGTGTCCCCATAGCAAAATACCATACGACATAATGCTATGGAAATAACTAAAGTAAACTATTCTAGCTGTTTCAACACTGGTAAGAGTTCTAATCTTTTTTTACAGCATATGCTGCAGAACTAAGTCTGCTAGCTAGTTTTGATATATGGGGGAGCCATTGAAGCTTTGCCTCCAGTGTGAGTCCAAGAAAAATGGTGGTATTAACAAGACTCAGTTCCTCCTCATTTAAAATTACATTAGTATTGACATGTTTAACATTAGGAGTTACGAATTTCATACGTTACAGTTATTTTTTCATATGTTTCATAGTTACAGTTTAAGTTCCATCCAAATGTAAATTATTAACATTGAACCAATTGACTAACTTAGCTATAGCATTATTTACTTCGTCGTAATTTAATAACTGTCGTTTTAATTTGAAAATTAATTAAGTATCATCAGCAAATAATACTAGGTATATCATGGTTATCCCCTACTATGTAAGGTAAGTCATTAATATATACAAGAAACAGAAAGGGGCCGAGAATTGAGCCCTGAGGCACGCCCATTTGTACAATCGATCCGGAAGAACTCATACTATTAATGACAACTTTTTGCATTCTGTCACTTAAATATGAAATAATTAATTTAAGAGCATCGCTTCTTACACAGTAGTGTTGAAGTTTCCTGATTTATGTTTCATGGTGAACACAATCGAAGGCTTTGGATAGGTCACAGAACACACCCAAAGCATCCTGTGAATTCTCCCATGCATTAAATATATATTTAATCAGCTCAACACCAGCATCAGTTGTCGAGCGACCCCTTGTGAAATCAAATTGATTTTTATGAAGTAAATTATTTACTTAATTTTTAATTAATTAACATTTGATCAAGAATAATTTTTTCAAAAATTTTACTAAGTGTTGGCAGTACAGAAATAGGTCTAAAATTAGCGGGGTCCAATGTACTACCAGATTTAAATAAAGGTATTAGAATTAAAAAAGGTATTATTTAATACGTAAGTACAAATAAATATTAAATATTTTAAAATTATCTACAAGCGGTGTAACTGCTGGTTAACAAACGGGGCGACCGATTGATGGTGAAAAATGCATCTAAAAACTGCTGAATTAAAACAAACTGTTGATGTGAGTATCAGCTCTACGTTTGCGAGCTCACCTGCCCTGCTGTCATGCTATGCAATGCCACCTGGCACATTCTCGGAAAGGTTTATGTCCACCAGTAGTCTTAAAAAGGTTGGTGTTGTTGCTTTTGTTAATGATGATCGTCATAGCCTATTAAAGTCCGCTACTAAATATATACCTCCCCCATAGTTGGGAGAATATTTGTCATAGTTTGCGTTTCAAGCGGGTTTGCAACAGCAGTTTATTTTTAGTCGTTATTAGGAAGACGCTGCTGCTCATCTCCTGATTTGTTTCCCTCTGTCGCCTCTTACGACACCCACGGGATGATATGGAGTAGTGGATGTTCTTGCACCGCCAATACACGGTACAGGAAAATATTGTTTGACCAGTAATGGCTAATGTCTTTTAGTACGTACGTTATTTTCGTATCCTCATTACCGGGCACTGTTGATCTGGAAGCAAATTTGTAGCAACAACTAAAACTTTTTCCTTTGCTGTACTGATACATTGCTTTTTGTTGTATATTAAAGCTTAATGCGTCCTGTTCTATTCTATTCACGAATATGGCACGGTGACCGCAAGTTTTATTTTCATATAAAGCTTCTTTAAATTTCAGAGTTTTTGAATAATTTTGTATTATACACCCAGGCGTGTCTATTAATAAGTCTTCTGTAGCTAAAAAAGAGTTTTAATTTTTTTATTTTTAATTTTTAAGAAGTATCTGGGATAGCAATTTCCTCAGTTTCCCAATTTTCTCTAATTCTCTCTATAGAGAATATCTGATGAAACAAGCTTTACTGTTTATTCAACGTGAAAGGCATAAAAAAGAGGAAAAATTTAATTCATATGATTATTTATTTATATAATAATTCATCGACGTCCATCTTGACGTACGTTCACTTCATCACTGAACGTCCTTTTTTATAATGGTATTGGCAATACTAATCTAATTATCTAAAGACGAGAAACAAATGTGTGCTCTAGGCTTATAGAGTAACACTGACCACCGATGGGCCGGAGGAGAGTAGCCATAGCGTTTTTTCCCGATACTGCAGTCTGCCATTTTTTGCGGGGGCAAATCTGCGCACACGAAAACCATCGTTTGTCACTATGAAACGCACACCACAATTAAAACAATATACTAACAATTACACACACACACACACACATATGATAAATTAAAACAACACAGCGACAACTCGGTACAGACTCAGATCAGTCGCTCGAGCTCGAGTGGCCTGTGTTGATAAACAAATCTGAAACCATCCGACGGTTATTGTAATATTTAAGGGTAAAAAGAAATAATTAATTAAGAAAATAATGTTACTTGAGACGTTACGCCATCTTCTTGTAAATTAGACGTGGCAGATCTCTTTTGGCAACAAAAAAAAAATTGAACAATTCGGAAATTTTGTAGTACTTCGATGCAGCCGCTTTACTAGATTTAGTCTAGTAAACTGTGCGGCTGCAATTAGTTTAATTGAACGCATAAGACCGCGTGGACCTTGACAGAGGGGAACGCCTGCGTATGGCTACTCCTCTTCGGTCCGCCAGTGACACGTGTTGCTTTATGTCTAAACTGACAGAACTCCGAGCCTGAAAACTTAATTAGGAAACTTTACCTTTGCGCACTACCCGTTCTCGACGACATCGGAGCAGAGCACAAGATACACATTCAATTACATTAGGACAAACTTGTTTGTTCTAATGTAATTGAATTGATAATCCAAATATTATTCTACCCTCCAGTTGTAAAGTTTTGTGACTGTACTAGGTGGTAGGGCTCTTAGTCTGACTTTCTGCCTAGGAGTCCGTTTGGGTAGTTACCATCCTCTTATTTATTTCTGCTGCCAAATAACAGTGCCTTCAATGCTGTATTTTGTTTTGAAAGGTGTAGAGATCCAGTATACTTACAGGCTGTGAGGTGTTGTTCCTCAGAGGTGAGGTGACAACACATCTGCAGCTTTTCTTGTTTAAAGTTTGCAGGTGAATTGGAAGTTGTTTTTTTATAGAATGAGGGTGACAAACGAGTACCTGATGGTAAGTAGATGCTGTGGCCCATAGGCATCTAAATGTATCCTCGATTAGGAATCAAAAGGCAGGTGCGTTATCTTTTACGCTGGCATTCTGTGAGAGCGTGGTGCTAACCAAGTCGAGCCGAGCCATTCGTGTTACAACCATATTATTGCTGCAGCGTGACTCAACCATGTATAAAATTTTGATTCGACTCTCTTTTTTATAGAATAGGAAAGGTTCAGTAGAGTAAGGTAAAGGTAACAAACGAGCGCACAGTCTACCTGATATGTGGTTGCTGTGGCCTACAGACATCTATATTTATCTTCAATTAAAAATCAAAATGCAGATGCGTTGTCACTCGTGAGTACTAAAATGGAACGTTTCCAGTAAAAAGGGTCTCCAGTTCTCTACACTCACCATACTAAAAACACAGCAACTTTAAGTTGCTATTTTACGCTGATATTCTGTGAGAGCGTGGTCCTTACCCGGACAAACGACCCATTCGTACTACTACTGTAAATCACGCGCTCGTCAATTATAAAATAATTTTGCAACATATGTTTATTCCATTATTTTAAAATAGACGATTGAAAATTAAACACATAATAGAATAAAATGTGATACAATAAATAAGACACATTTAAATCACAAAATATAAATAATCAAAACAGTTGTTTACCGTTAAGCAGGCTCTTGGTAGTGCTAGTTTGAAACATCGACTTTTCGACTGTGTATAAACTCATTAAACTAAACATATTATAATAAAACATAAAGATGACAAATCCTAAAATCAATGATGTAGTTGTGACAGCCTTGTTTAGGTTCATTATGCACACTAGGATTTTTCATCCGGCGAGGAACTGAAACAAAAATATATTATTGATTATTATTACATATATATTTTTCCTGCATTGCATGTTATTATATGATTAATAAAAATATAACCGACAACCAGATGGCCAAATCGTCGGAGTACATGGCAACTAAACAACTATGTCTAGGTTCTAAATCGGAGTTAGTATTTGTGCACAATGTACACAAAAAATTGGTTTTAAAATCCGATTGTAATAAATTTGTCCGCGTGTCTCTGGCATTGCATCCTAGCTAACTTTTATGGAATAAGGAAAAGGAAAGAACAGGTATGCTTGTAGTTGTGTTTAGGCTCTAATAAGTTGGTACATTATTACATTGTAATCTGCGCATAGGCACATTGGACAAATGTGCAGTGCTCCGCAATCCATGGGGCCTACTAGTTCCGACATATCGCCAGCCGACAAATATATTTATTTTGCGAAAATACTACAATTTCCTGACTATAATATTTTTTTTTATATTTCGTGATTTTCTAGAAAGTACTTTTCGTATTAGCCTTTTTTATTATCAAATGCATTTCAGGCAAGGATAAGTTATGTCGGACTTGAAGTAACTATAACCCCATGACGCACCTTTGCTGCATATCATTAGGGGGCCATGGGAACGCTTTCGCACATATCTGGGAGGATATGATAAATTATTTTACGAATTATTACATTCCAATCAAATATTGGATAATCTACATTGATGTTAGCTTAAATCAAAGAGATGTAAATTGGCTACATGTATGCCATTTGCGGGACATTCCCTAAACTTACTTAATCTTCATGCCGTTGTGGACGTAACAGACAAGACAAGTTCTTCTAATTGGTTCAGAAACCTTATAAATTTTTTTGGGTTTTACGTTATTTTTATACAACGATGGAATACACTTTTTTTATACGTGGTAGACTCACGCTACAGGTGTTACGGTTGTAGAACGAAAAGATCGGCTCGACCGGGGAAGGACCACTCTCTCACAGTATACCAGCGTGAAATAGCAGCGTAATGCTGCTGAACCGGAGACCCGTTTTACTGGAATTGAGGCGTTCCATCTTAGCCCTCAGGGGTGACAATGCATATGCATTGTGATTCTTAATCGAGGTTAAATATAAATGTCTATGAGCCACAGCATCCACTTACCATTAGGTGGATTGTGTGCTCGTTTATCACCCTAATTCTATAAAAAAAACAGAATATTTAGATCTTAAAGTCTTTCTGAAACCAGACAATCTACGCAAGCTGATGCAGTATAAGCGTATGCATCAAGATAAACTACAGATTATAAAAGCCTTGTCGTCTTTTGCAGAGGATACATAGCCAAAACAAAAAAAAAGACTGACAGAACTTTGAAGCACCATATTGAAAAAAAAAAATAAAACAAGTGGGATTAACTCAACAAATTAGACAGAATCAATAAAATTGGATGTTCCAATTAATTTGATTAGGTACTTTATTTGATGATTTTAATAATGATTTAAGGGATATATTGTATGTGATTACTTTTAATAGTTCGTCTAAAATAAAAATCCACAGTCTGACTATAGGAACTTATCCTAAAGAACAGGAGGTATAAGCTCGAATTGGACATTCTTTGATGACCTCTCACCATCAGTCTAATGGTAAAAAGAAATTCAAAGTAGGTACAAGCTTTTCTTCTTATAATTGACAGCCTGAGCGTGTATATGAAACATCGTTTGAATTGGTAAGGAAATAAGTCATCGGTTCTGTTTTCTATATTACTAGAAAATTTTAAATTCTGAAATTTCAAATCGTTTTCAAACGTTCCGGGAAGTCTGCAATTTGTGATCATATCCTAGATTGAAAGAACAGCAGATAGAGCACTGCCAGGAGTGAACGAAAATTATAAGAACTCCGAAAAAATAACCCTGAACGTCGCATCGTCTTACATCACGATAATGCGAGCTCCCATACGGCTCGGAAGACAAATGATTTTTTGAAGCAGGAAAACGTTGAGCTGATGAGCCATCCCCCGTACAGTCCTGATATGAGCCCAAACGATTTCTTTACATTCCCTAGAATGAAAGATTTATTACGCGGTCAACGGTTTGAAGACCCCGAAGTAGCTGTTGAAGCGTACAAATCAGCCATTTTGTCAAAATCAACTTCAGATTGAAATTACTGTTTTAATGATTGGTTTGCACGAATGGAAAAGTGCATTAAGTTGAACGGAGAATACTTCAAAAAACAGTAAAAAAAATTTAGCTATACCGTGCACGAGGTTTTTCTTATTCCCGATCATTTCAGTGCGCCCCTCCGTATTAAATAGATATGGATACTAATTTAATACTTTGAACTGTACGTTTTTACTAATAAATTACGACGAACGAAAATAAACTAAACATTGTGTTACGAGCAAAGCAGTCTGAGACCAATTGGGGGCCCTGGGCACTTTAGGATAAATGGGGCCCCTATGAGAGAGGGTTAAGTAATAACAAAAGGAAATAATAAGGCAATAATATATTTGACTTATATATATTTGACCGTTACATATTTTCTTCAATGTCAGATTAAATGAACAGGTTCTTATAATCTGTAAAAGTAACTCCTCTAGCATTATGCGTTTATGCTTATGCGTTTTAGTGCTTAATAATCTTTGTGTATAAGGTAGAGACGCGCTGCAGGTATATTATAGTTGCAGTTCGAATAGGTTGGCTCGTCCGGAGAAGGATCACGCTCCACAGAATACCAACAGCAGCTCAATCCTGTTACGTTTCGTATGGTGAGTGTAAGTGGAAAACCGGCGACCCTTTTTACTGGAAACGAGGCATTTCATATTAGTACCTACTCACAGGTAGCAACGCATCTGCATTTTTATTTATAGGAGGATAGTTGTGCCTACATATCTATGGGCCACAGTATTCACTTACCATCAGCAGGACTGTGTGCTCGTTTGACACCCCTATTCTATTAAAAAAATGTGGCTTGAAGGGTCTTCTAGATTTTAGACATGCAAAATCATTATTCACTTCTGCAAGTCTATCTTTCAATATTTTTCTTTCTCTTATCTCTACGCTTTCAATCTTCTATGAATGTAAGTAACAAACTGGTAAAATTTTCTCGAGCCGCTGTACTTCTTAATAAATTTTTTTTTAACCCACTAATTCGCCCGCACAGAACTTAAACTACAATAGTGGTCTTTGGGAAAACAGTTTAACTATTTGATAACCATGTTATTCTTAAATTTTTTGCTATTATCCTAAAAACTATGTACGACAGGGGAAAACATTTAAAATAAAAATTAAAGATCAATTAATTTCGATTAAAAAATGTATGTGTACCTTATTCATTACACACTTGTAAATTATTTTGAAGTACAAAAAGTGAAAAACGATTTTTGCGTAGAAGCTAACGTGTTAATCATTGAGTAAAATTGCAACCAAAAAGGTTTTGTTCGAAAAATTTTTTATTGCAAGGGAAAAATGGTATGTGGGCTTAGAATATCGTGACACGAGTATCAACCTCAAAAGCGGAATACACCTTATTGTATTAGAGCCTTGCCACAGAGTAAGGAGTATGTTTCTTTACTCATATGGCCTTGCCCTCTTATAGATCTTGTGGAAAGTTTTCTATTTAAATGACCACAACTAGAAAAAGTAAAAATAGTAAACTTATAGAAACTCGAACGCAATGCACATACATATTGTCCTTCATTTTTTTTTATTTTTTTAAAATTATTAGTAGTTAGTTATTAGTATTTTATTTTTTTATTTTTAAGTTATTTGCTTGATATTAAGAAATAGGTTGTATTTTCTAATGAGATGTGTGAATAGCTGAATTTAACACTATGGGAGACCTTTAAGAGTTAAATAAAAAATAATTAAAGAAACATCCTACGCATGTAAAAATGGGATGATTTTGTATAAAACCGGCAAGCGCGAGTAGGTCTCGTGTCCAGAAGATGCCGCGTACTTTTAATTATGTATGTATTAAGACAGTTCATCTCGGTAATCAAGAGTCACGTCGTTCCACGATTTTCGACTTTTCGATAGCGATACTGGCAAGATATCGGTCCCGAGAATTTGAAGTTTTTTTTGTGTAATTTCGCATTCGCTATTGTTATTTTCCATTTATTTTATTATTTATTGGAATGATTTTAACATGGCAACACCGATTATTGAAAATTTATTAAAAATCCTTATAGAATAACGTTTAAGATCGCTGAATCAAAGTTTATAGACCAGTATTTTCTTGCGATCCGATGCGCACATTTTTAGATTATATATATTAAAATAATAATGTACAATATAATACTTTTCATTACCCACCAAAGAAAATAAATCATACAATACTTTATATACCTAAAGAAATAAACAAATATAAGGGGTACAACTACGTAACGACTTTTGGATTTTCCCTTACTTGTGCTACTTTTTTTTTCTATATTTTGTGATTTTTGGTCAACGTAAAGTACCATAATATACGTTTTGATGAGTGAGTTTGCGATTATCAAAATATGTGTCATAAATGGCGTTATTTTTAAATTGCGTTAACTTGCAAGCTTACATTTTTATACCTCTAATGGACCGCAGATCTATTTAGATTATTTGATATTAATTTGAACTTGGATACCTCTACCGTCCTTGAGAGAATGCAAATGGACGGATAGATGATCGGATACACTATTGAAGTTCAGAACCTTAGAAATGAAGTAATATGATTGATAATTAAAAATGAGTGGCGTACTAACGGTTCTGTAAGAACTTTTCTAAATGCACACATGTATTATTATTTTTTTAAATTTATTTATCAGATCAAAGAAAAAATTGCAACACAGCGTATTGAAGTCCACTGCTGAACACAGGCCTCCCCTGAAACTGGCTCACAAAAGAGATATTTACCACAGTTGCCACTATTGGGTTGGCAGCCGCAGTTTTTTTAT